TATATATATATATATATATATATATATAATTGAATATATATATATTATAATATTATATATATATCATATATATAACATTTTATTTATTATTTTATTTTATTTATATTTTTAAAACATTTATTTAAAATCCACCGTTAGTTATTAATACGAGATAACCGGGACATTATAATTACATTATCAGGGTCATTATTTGGCTCAGAAGCACAAAAAAAGCCTCCTCCTCTCTGTCGTCCTGCTCAGACCCTCGGTGGCGTTTCTACGGTGATGACGGCTATTGCCTAGCAACAGGGTGATGAAGCTATTTCCGGACGTGCGGGCGCCGGCGAAGCCTCACACCTGAGATTTGTGACATTCTTCACATGGCGACGGCGATAAAAACGGCGCCGACTTTCACACACGGGAAAAAATCCTGTGATGTAGAGGCTGAAAAACAAGTTTTTTTTTAGGATGTTCAAAGATCTCATCCGGGCTCAGAGTCTATTTAAAGCAAGAACTAAATTATTTAAGGTTTCATTCATGTGATTCAGCCACTTTTGGAAGCTCTTCTTTCATTCTGGACAGTTTCAGTATTAATTTATTAGCTAAGTTTGATTTTAAAGCTAAGACGACTGATGAAATCTGCAAATAAAATAGTTTATTGGACAAACTCCACTCGGAGGGGCTTTTAGGGGCTGAGAGCTAAAGGGATGCTAAAGTGGTGAAAGAGGACATGTTTAAGCCCCAAACTGAAGCCGATTAAGACTTTGTGGTCAGTCTGGAGGAGCTCAGAGAGTCCAGCTGGAACTGAGAAGGAGACGAGTAAGAGTAAATTATTATTATTATTCATTTATAATATATAAATATATGTATATAATATGTAAATGTATTTATATAATAATATAACACATTTATCATATTTTTCTCATACATATTTATATCATTATTATTATTATAAATGTATTATTATATAACTATATTTACATAATAATATAATATATTTAGGAAATGTATTTCTAATACATATATATATATAATCATTATTGTTATTATTGCTATTTAAACGAGTCAATGAATAAACCAATACACAAATGTACCAATTAATTAATAAAAAAAGATCCTTTTTTAATTTCTCTTTGAATTTGCTTGCTCCATTTTTCTGTCTCCTTTCTTTCACTTTCATGAGGATTTCTGCCTCGTTATGCTAATAATTTAAATATTTAAATTCATAAAAAAAACACGGAATATCATTTTTAAAACTGTCAAATTAAATCAAAACATAATTGATAAAGATTAGTGAAATTAATAGAGAAAAAAACATTATGGTAAAAAAAGATTGAACAAGTGGGAAACTATTGAGTACATTTTAAGATTATTAAAATATTATTAAGAATGTTATTATATATATACTTTATATACTTTAGATTTTCTCATTTTCTCAGTCAAATCTGAACGTTTTTAAACACTTAATCGGATGTGAATTTGATCCAGACGAGCAGATGTTCGGATATCGGAAAATATACAAGAAATATAATGAAAACGTCGCATTTTTGCTTAAAAAAACTCTTTCCAAATGTCCTGAAAAAAGGCTAATCAGTGATTTCTGTCTGTTAGAGGCCTAAAAATGGCCGATGCCAGATCTGAGGATCACTCCAATAACTCTAAGCGCTGTCTGGATGCTGCTTGTTTCCAGCTCTGAAATCCTCGTCTCTGGCAGCCGGAGAGAGGAGAGCCCCCCCCCCCCCCCCCCCCCCCCCCCCCCCCCCCCCCCCCCCCCCC